TTTGTTAAAATATCTGAAAATTGCTCATATTTAGATTTAAAAAAAACTCGTTGAACTATTAATAAAATAATTATGTAATAATGTGACGTTTAAGCATAACGATAATACAGCAAAAATTTTTTGTATTCTACTAACAAATATTTTACAATTTTTATTTAAAATATCACAATTTTTAATATTTTATAATTAATTCATAATTATTTTAATGATGCAATCAAATTATCTTAAGTTTTATATCTGACCTAATTTTTAAATATTTCAATGAAACATTCTTGTTATATAGAAATCAATGAATGAAAGGGTCAAACCTATAGTTACATGCGTCAGATTTACAAGTGTCAATTAAATTGATTACTTCAATGGAAAAATCATGAAGTTGAGTAACTCACAATCACTTTGTCGTAAGACTTTATAAATTTAAAACTTATAATTAACGGATACATAAAATTACTCATATATTTATATATATATATATCCGTATATTTTTATATGTTATGTATATATCATATATTTTTCCTTCCTTTTTGCGTACCGCAATCGCTGATAAAATTGTAAATAGAATTCGCGAATTCTTGTCTAAAATAAGCTAAACTTCGCATTAACTCAGCAGAAATTAAATTCACACTATTGAATTATTCGTCTGGACTTTCGACGATATTTGGCTGCAGGAAGAGAGGGAAAGGCAGGCATCTGACGCCCATCTCTGGGAAAAGAATTCAAACGAAAATATGAAAGTGAGAAGACCGAAGAAAGTGACTGTGGTCTTCTGGGCAGTGGTTGCCAGACGGCGCCTTTCAACGTCGTTGACCCCAAAATACCTCGATGATCATTGAATGTCTTTCTATAAATTTTCATTACGCATTTTACGATAGAACAATTATTAGAGAAGCTACACTTTGTTATGTGTTACGAAACAGATAATTCTGCCTTAAAAATTTTTCAGAATCATTTCGTGTAAAAAAATTGGTCATTTAAGCTAAATTTATGTAAAATAAAATCGTCTATTATTTAATATAAGTCGGAAATTTTTAATTAACATGTATAAATATTACGCTGAAATTTGAATGTGCAAAATAATAAATGCACGATTCATCGTTTTCGTTCCGTATTCATAGTAAATTATTTCTATCTCGCAATACAATTATATATGTGTATAATTCTAAATGTGTATTATATAAACGAAAAATATTTAAAAATATTAAAAAAATTCTAAGCTTATCTCTTCGTCAAATATGTGTATTTACCATACAAATAAAACGATCTGTTAAAACGATTTATACATCAAGTATAAATATTAGTAAACGATTTATACATCAAGTATAAATAGTACTTGGATCTTATTTTTTCGCCATTAAAAAAAATCTTGTTGACGAAAAGTAGTAGGTAGATAGTGGGTGCAGAAAAAGTGAAAAAAAAATCAATAACAATCATTTTCGTCGTAAACGCATTGTCGTCATCAATGATCCCGCGAGCGGGGAACGAGTTGTGCGCGTCACGAATGAAAGGTTCATTGTGTAGGAAGAAATCATGGCGCTGTGTAACACTTACTGCGTGATCATTAAAGAGCGACGCCTGTGCGTAACCATGACACAGAATTTTGACACACATTGCACTTTTCGAGACCCAACGAAGAGCCGCCTCCTCATGGCTTCTTCACCGGCAGTGTGTGCGTGAGTCATCGCGCATCCGCATTTGAAATATTTATTATCAAATTTCTTCCCACAATTGCATACATTTTATGACTTTAATCTTACATTTTCGACTTTTAATTAACGTAAATATACATAATGACATATTTCTGTATCTTTTTCTATGATTAATGCATTACTGCTGCTTATTAATTATATTTTACCATGGGACCAGCTAGTACTATTTGATTTTATTAATCTCATTAGTGCCGTTCATCCTTTGTAGAAGAGAGTTATAATTGTTTCAATAACTGTACTCATTGAGAGAAGAAATTATTTTTACCCACAGCATAAGAACAAAATGAAATAAGCCCGGTCGAAAGTTGTTTGTCCGGAAAGCATAAATGAAATTTTACACCTCCTATGAGAGTATTATCTTTTATAAATTCATTTAACTATTGCATTAAACATATGAAGTAAATACTATAATTTTTTTTTACTTCCCATGGCTTTGCATAACTTTCTTTATTAATATATCTTTCAATAACATATATATTTTCTCTCGTTAATAAATAATTTTAACTAATTTCTATATAACAAATATTTGTGGAAATTCATAAAAAAAATTATTTATAAACGGTAACAAACAAATAAATTTCAAAGAGACTTTTCGGTTATTAACATAACCGAAGCGTCAGCACGAATAACGAGATAGAAAGTTAACGTTACTTTTTCTCCATTTTAAACTTGCATTTTTCAATGCCATTGTTTTATTAGTCTATAAATATGTATTAACAGTAATATTTACAGATATAAATAAAAATATAATATATTCCGTCAAGAATCAAGAGAAAGGGGAAAGAGAGAGTGAAAGAGAGTGAAACAAGATGACTACCACAAAAATTTCCTAAAACTCTAATACGTTCGTTTTTTTTTTTTTTTTTATGTTTACGTAGGCCTCTCGAGACCACGTCAGTCGATGGGTACTCACAGTCTACCTGCACCGAGCGACGTCGTCTCCAGGATCCTGACGTCCACCTCGAAGGTAGGAAGCCACGAGGGCTTGACTAGTCTGTCCGGGATCTGGTCGGAGCTGGTGCTCCAGGATATCGCCGCCACCGTACGCTCCTTGGGTCCCGAGGATAAATGCTGCTCCGAGACGCAGCAGCAGCAGCAGCAGCAGCATCCGGAGTGCTACGAGATGCGCGACGAAAGATTCGGCTGCAGAGCCTACTGGCGATCGGTGCCGAGTTTAACGGTGCACGGATGTCAGTTCGAGACGAGGGAGCAGATGAACGGCGTCTCGGCCTATCTGGACGGTTCCGGTATCTACGGCGCGACCGACGACAAGGTGCATCTGCTTAGGACGTACGACGACGGCAAGGTCAATCTGAGCGCCTGCGAGCTGTGCAACCAAGCTGAACAAGATGTGCTCGGTTCGCTGCATCGGGTATTCCTAAGCGAACATAATCGCGTGGCGGAGAAGCTGGCGGAGGCAAACGTGCACTGGGACGACACGAAGATTTTTCTGGAGGCACGTCGCATCGTCGTCGCTCAACTTCAGCATGTCACCCTCAACGAGTACGTGCCGGCAATATTGGGGGAGGCGCAGATCGATCACGCAGATCTCAGACCGCTCGCGAACGGCTTCTACACTGGTTACTCCTCGTCCAACAAAGCTGGTACATACGATGCAATCGCCCTGGCGGCTTTACGCGCTCTTGTATGGACGCGCTCCAATAAAAGCGGAGATCTCCCGGCTCACTTCATTTATTCTGCAAATGGCGTTGGTCTCGCAGCCGCCCCGGACGCAGCCGCCTGGTCCATACATGTCGCACGAGATCACGGAGTACCTGGATATGTCAAATTCTTGACTGAATGTTTGGGAGAAAACGTTAAGGTAAAACTCGATATTGAAAATAAATTCTTACGATTAAATTCCTTGTTTTAAAAAAAGGTAGCGATTACTGTTTTGGAATATCATTATTATTTTTGTACATTTAAAAAAAAATTAAAACGCCATAAAAATGTCAAATTATTTATATAACACAATTGCTCTTATAACACAAGATCCTAAATTAATCGTATATTATTGAATGTATAATAATACTGAACGCTATTGGTCTTCATAAAAGGAATTAATACTTAAGGAAATGACTTACTGTGATAATCTACATGTCTCAATCTTTGTTTCGATGCAGATCGAAAACTTCACGAATCTAGCGAGAGTAATGCGACCCGAGCACGCGCAGCAGTTAAGTACGATTTACGCGAATCTGGAGGACGTGGATCTTCTCGTGGGTGGTATTCTGGAGACTCCGGTCGCAGGCGTCGCTGTGGGTCCAACGTTCGCGTGTCTTCTCAAGAAGCAGTTTCTGACAATGAGAAATTCCGACCGCTTCTGGTACGAGAACGACATCCCGCCATCGGGTTTGACGGCGACGCAGCTGGCCGAGATCAGGAAGATGTCTCTCGCAAACATTCTGTGCGCCAACACCAACCTCCGCAGAATTCGCTTTCAACCGAGGCTCTTCATTCAACAGGACCAATATCTGAACAACAGGATTTACTGCGAGCAGTATGAAGCACTGAACGTCGCGGCATGGGCCGAAGAACCGTTGTCGTTCTCCACGGTGCAATATAACTCGATAAGCATGAGTACGCGCGAGCCGAAGCAACTTTTGCCGGAGATCAGTCCGGAGTTGCTCGCCGCCGCGGTGAAGAGAGCGGAGGAGGAGCTAATCGAGCGGAAGCAATTGGAGTACAATGCCTGGCTGGAGCAAAAAATCGCCGATCCGAAATCGGCCGCCGGCACGGCGGCCAGCTTTTCTAAAGCCAACAAAGACGCTCTGCTGCTCGCCAATTCATCCATCATGTACGAATTGGCCACGAACGAGATCCTGAATGGCGTGCACGGTCTCCGACGCAGGAGGCGCCAAGTCTTCGAGAATACGGAGAACATCCTGGGTTTCCCCAACTCGAACGAATTCTCCGATTTGCTGCAGAACGTCGACATCTCCGGCTTCCTGAATCATCATCACAAACCGACGAATCACGAGGAGGTCCACTGTCCCGTGGATGACTCCCCGTGTGATCCAACTACGCCCTACCGAACTCTATCGGGTCACTGCAACAATCTGCGTAATCCTAGCCTGGGCAAGTCGCTGACGACTTTTGCTCGCCTGCTGCCGCCTGCTTACGAGGACAACGTTTCCAAGCCGAGAAGCACTTCCGTCACCGGTGCACCTTTGCCGAACCCCCGTGTGGTCTCCACCGTCATTCATCCTGACATATCAAACTTGCATAATCGTTATACTTTGATGGTGATGCAGTTTGCACAGTTTCTGGATCACGACCTGACGATGACACCCATACACAAAGGCTTTCAGGAATCGATTCCCAGCTGTCGATCCTGCGACTCGCCGCGTACCGTTCATCCCGAGTGCAATCCGTTCCCTGTGCCACCGGGTGATCATTTTTATCCCACTGTGAACGTCTCGTCTGGTGCACGAATGTGCTTCCCGTCGATGCGATCGCTGCCGGGTCAGCAGCACCTGGGCCCGCGCGAACAGGTGAATCAGAATACTGGTTTCTTAGACGCATCAGTGGTCTACGGTGAGAATTCGTGTATCTGCAATATTCTGCGTGGCTTCAATGGACGCATGAACGTCACGGCGAATTCAGGTCGTGGCAGAGACCTGCTGCCACAGTCGGCAACGCATCCGGAATGCAAGGCCCAATCAGGGTACTGCTTCATCGGTGGTGACGGCCGTGCTTCAGAGCAACCGGCGTTGGCGGTTATGCATACCATGTGGGTGCGCGAGCACAATCGCGTGATGGATGGTTTGCGCCAGGTAAATAAAAAAACAAACAACAAAATTACCTTTTAAAAAAATAAGCGCGTGAACTTGTCATCGAGACACCACCGTGTGTCTTGATTTTTTTTTTTCTATAGATGACTAGTTCTTTTTCTACAAGTGACAAGCGAAAGAAATAATTTATGTAGAAATTGAATTCATGAGAATATTATATATCGCGTGCTCTCGTCTTATGAGTAAAAAATCAATTTAATTTTTTAGTAGAAAAATTTTTTAGTAGAAAAATAAGTAATTTAGAAGATATTTTTTGATATGTCTTTAATGCATATCTTTTATTTGACATTATTAAATTAAAGTAATTGAAATATGAATGTATTTTCTCTTTATTTCTCATTTGTTATTTCAATCTCAAGAATCTTTTTTTTTATTTATATTTATTTGTATTCTAATTATTTCCCAAACGGTAATGAAACAAATTGAATTTTTCTTTCATTAATACAATTTTCTTAAATAGGTGAATCTCCACTGGGACGGTGAAAAACTGTTCCAAGAGACACGACGCATCATCAGTGCCATGCTGCAGCACATCACATATAATGAGTTTCTACCCAGGATCCTCGGCTGGAACGCCGTTAGTCTGTATGGCCTTAAATTATTGCCCCAAGGCTATTACAAGGAATACTCGCCCACTTGCAATCCCAGTGTCCTCAATGAATTCGCGACCGCAGCCTTCCGGATCGGTCACTCATTGCTGCGACCGCACTTGCCGCGCATGGATCGCAACTATCAGAACATCGATCCGCCCATCTTGCTGCGTGACGGATTTTTCAATCCGGACATGCTCTATCAGGAGAATATGATCGATGAGATGATACGCGGCTTAGTAACCACGCCGATGGAGACGTTGGACCAATTCATCACTGGCGAGGTGACGAATCACCTATTCGAGCAACGTGGTATCCCACACTCCGGCGTGGATTTAATAGCCTTGAACATTCACCGAGCCCGCGATCACGGGCTGCCGTCGTACAATCACTACAGAGCGCTCTGCAATTTGAAGAAGGCTACCACGTTCGAGGATTTGTCCAGGGAAATGGCGCCGGAAGTGATAGCTCGTATGAAACGCATATACGCCTCCGTGGACGATATCGATCTGTTTCCAGGCGGTATGAGCGAGCGGCCGCTTCAGGGTGGCCTAGTCGGACCCACCTTCGCCTGTATCATCGCCATTCAGTTTAGACAATCGAGGAAGTGCGATCGTTTCTGGTACGAGACCGACGATCCAAATATCCGCTTTACCGAGCATCAGATGGCAGAGCTCCGGAAGACCACTCTGGCCAAGGTGATGTGTGAGAACATGGACCACCAGACGGACATGCAGAGAGCGGCATTCGATCTACCTAGTAACTTCTTAAATCCACGTGTACCCTGCAGTTCCATGCCCCACATGGATTTCGCTGCCTGGCGAGAAACCAGACATGGCTGTCAGATCGGCGGTAGAAATGTCGCCGTCGGCGAATCTGGTTTCCCTACGCCTTGTACCAGCTGCGTCTGCACCGCCGAAGGCGTAAGTATTCTGCCTGAATGAAGTTACGTCAAATCTCTCTGTTCTTAATTCCGACTACATAAATTTGGTGATTTTGATCTTCTTCAATCTTCTTCACAAGCTATTAGATTGCCAAAAAAACATTCATCGTTTTTCTTCTATACAACCTAAAGAAAAGAATCATCTAATTGCTAAAATATAGAGTTTAAAAACAAGCTTTTTTTTCTTTCAGACGCAATGCGCTTCATTGAGAGTCACGGATTGCAATCAACTTCTACGAGAAGCTTCTCGAGAAGCGATTTTACGGGATGATGTCTGCACCGCTCAATGTGGTTTCGTGTTGGCAGCCTCGGAGAGCAACGCGAGGCTACAACAGTTCACTACACCCAGCGGCTCAGGTTTCTCTGGTTTTCCAACACATACGAATAATCTGAGAAGTTTATCGACGCCAGTCTCATTCAACGGCTTCAAGTTGCCCGATCTCTCGCAATTTATTGGTTGAATCAAAAGAGATAGGAAGACTTAAAATTCATAACTCTTTGTTTACTGATTATTGTATTGTATGCAGGAAACACACTGCCTTTACTTCAAGAGACTGTACGACAAACGCGATCCCAAAATTTCATAACCGGTTGGTCGTGCTCAAGCTCAATACTATAAAGAATAAACAAATACAGCGGACAGAGACAAGGAGACAGTAAGCATATTTTGAATATATGCATGACATAAAAGAAAGATAAAAGAAAGAGTACCTGTCGGCATGTAAATATAGATGATAAGGCGCATGTATTTAGTTCACTGAAAAAGAACGAGATCGCATCGTCGAAAAAACAAAGGAGAGCGGAAAGACATGCGAACGGGATACGCGAACTTCTTGAATTAGAGGAAGTAGTGATGGTTTTAAAATATAATTTCGAATACGATGAAAGCTTCTTCTCAACGAACTTTTGAATATTATTCGAAAGAAAAAAATTATTGAAAGTCTTGAATGCGTTGAAAAATGTTTCTTAAATGCTTTGAAAAATATATTTTTCCTTTCATAATACTTCATTGTTTTATTCCTTTATTTTAAATACACAAATAATAAATATATATTCTTAATCTTTCAGATATCTAAACATCTCAAAATTTTCTAAACATTTAAGAGTTAAAGTGTTTCACAAGACATTCAAGTCTTCCAAGATTTTTTAAGACTTTGAAAAGTCTTTAATTTCGAGTAATGTTCGAAGAGCAATTTGAATTTTCATATAATTGAATTATTTGATAAATTTTTCTTTCGAAAGGATTCAAACATCCATCATTACCAGGAATAACACAGACGAATGCGCGAGCAAGACTCGCTATTGTCACATTGTACATTATGGTGATATTACGTTACCATGGAAATTAAGATCGAGAATGATTATAAGCATATCAAATAGATACGTGATATCATATGTGCTGTGTGGTACGTGTCAGCGTCACGTATCGATACGTTTTATATGTTTGAATGACGGACGGTATCGGCTCGGAAGAAATGCAAACGCAACGTTTGTTACGAACTTGTCTTTCTTTCTCTCGTTACACCTCTACCTAATTTTGTATTATAATAACGTGACATGTATAATGTTAATAAATGTTAATATTTCTTTTTTTATTGTTGTTTTTCCTCATAATATAAACAGCAATATTATGTCACCCGCGCCTCCACGGGCTCTGGAAATTGGTCCTCACTTTTAATTTAATTATAATAAAGCGCGAGGCCACGGTGGAGGCAAACAATCTCTTTCTAAAAAGATCTAAAAAATTATTTACAAGGATTTCTGGCAGCCCGAATAATAAATATTCGACATGTTTTATTTGCAGGATATTCATCCACTCGCTCGAGTTTGATCCGAGATGCTTTTACGCTTTCGGAAAACGTCTAGAGTTTTTCTTATCTCTCTTTAAAGTTCAAGTTTAACTGGGAGCAGGAACTTCTTGTTTATTATTAACCACAGTGGTATTTTCCTGTATTGTAGGTGTTTGTTCAATACAGCGCCACAGTCCATAGGTTTTTCCGACTACTGTTTGCCATAATCTTAAAGTACCATCTTCAGATCCGCTAGCATACAATTCACCATCCGGTGAAAATCGTATGCAGTGTACAGGCCCAAAGTGTCCCTTGAATGATTCTAAGAATGCAAATTTTATATAAAATTAATTAAAAAATTTTTTTCATTTAAAATGCTAAATTTTCAAAAATTTTTTACCTAGTTCCGCTCCTGTATTGTAGTCAAACTTGTACATTTTAAAATCTTCCCCACCACAAACAAAAATAGTACAATCCGGATGCAAGCTAGCACTATTTACTTGAGTTGGCACCATAAATTCCTTTATCTTGGTTAATCTGACAAAAAAATTTAAAGATTAAAATTTCATTTCCATAAAAAAATAATGTTAAAATTTTCAGTATTGTAACAATGCTCTGATATCACAATTTTTATAAGTGTGCTTCAGTATTTCAGTCGTAAAAGTTTGTAAAAAATTCGATTTTAATTCTTAGAATTGCTGTATATGATATTAGAAATTCTGACTAGTAAAATATTTCAGTTGGTTCTACAAAGTGGAGATTAAATCAAAGTTCACGATTTTTTATATTATAAAAATTGAAACTGTAATAAAACCAGAAAAAAAGCCTATGTAAGATGATTTTTCCTCAGAAGACTAAGATTCTATTTAGGTTATAGTCTCTCTTATTAAAAAACGATAACGAAAAGAAAATGCCACATACTCCTTGCTATTCCAAAAAGTAACAATATTAGAATGAGTAGTAGTAATGACATTCCCATCTTTCGACACCTCCATAGAACTTGGAATCGCAGGAAAGTCTAATCTCTTAACTTCTTGCCCGCTGTTTCTGTCCCATACCCTCAATGTCTTATCGTCTGCACAAGTAATTAAGGCAGAGTTATTATCAAAAAAGGTAACATGTCTGATGCCACTCGTATGGCCTGAAAAGATCTGAGAAATAAAAATAGTTTTATATATTAGCCTGTTATATATTCTATTGCGATCATATTTACTGCTAATTCATATAATTTCACTTACCTGTGGAGCAGCATCCGGTTTGTTAAGATCATAAATACGTACAAGCTTTTCATTAGAACCAGTACACAAATGATTAGAGTCTGTACTAAAGTTGACAGATTTAACTATGTGATTGTGTTGAAAGGAATGAACCTCTTCTCCTTTAATCGCGTCCCAGACTTTGGCATTAAAATCTGCTGCACCAGTCGCAGCTCGTGTAGCTTCTGGATTTAATGCTACGCCCCACACAGCTCCTTTGTGTCCTTCAAACGTACCGATCCAATCTCCAGTGTCACCTTGTCGCAACATAGGTTTGCCATCTGAAAAAAAAACACATTTCAAAATATTTTGTCTATGTAAATTATTATGTTAATAATTTCATATAATAATTTCATGTATAACAATTAAATGTATCTCTCTCTCTCTTTAATGTTACATAAACATACATAAAACAAAACACGCACAAAAATATCTAAGATCTATTTAACTCCAGAAATAGTGTATCAAATTTAAAAAAATCTTAATTTTTTTCAAAATTTTAGCCTTCTCCATATATTTCATAGAACAGATATACCTTTAAAAAACAAAATATTTCACATAGACATTAAATAAGAACAAATATAAAATATTTGGAGAAGCTGCCTTGACGTTGCCTCCCATGAACAGGCAGGAAGAGATTCGCGCACCGTCAAGAGCACGCGACGTCTAACCTCGAAGTTCGTGGAGCCTTGGGGCAACCGGAAAGAATCGGGCCAAGGCGATCGAGAATCGAACGTGCCGATCATGTTGTACATACGATCGGGAGGAAGGAAAAAGAAAGACGCGGCGATGCGAGCGGAGCAGCTTTGGAACATCCAACCGGTTCGATTCTTGGCGAACGAAATTTTGGGTTACCTTTGCACGCTGAGATGAGATAATACCCGGATTCGGTGACGTCGGAGAAGGCGAGGTGGACCACGGGTCTCGTATGACCGCTACATGTCAACGGGGTTTGCCTCAGGCTGGCCATTGTATCGCCGTTTGTATCGCGTCTCCAGGTTTTCTTTCCGTCCTCGCCTGCTGTCGGCACGTCCGTCCACGACGTAGCTTTGTGATGAGTCTCACGAACGAACGAATAGACGAACGATGAGATCGGTAAAACACGCACGCCGCAACGACTTGCGACTTCCGATAGCTCCACATGCGCTCTCGTATCGCCACAACGCACCGTCACGAAGTGTACGAGGCTCGACGCTCGACTGACTAATTCTGACGGTCACAGCCGGTTGGTCGTGTTGTCCTACCAATCGCCATTGGTACCGGCAATTAAGTTCCGAGACAGGAAGAGCGGCCGTGCGCGCGCGTGACCTCGCCGCACCGCGTCCTCGTCTCCCTTTTTCTCACTCCTTCGGAGCACCGCTGCGATCGTTATTTACACGAACGGGAGTAGCATAAACTCGCCCTAACTTTGCAAATTTATGCATTCCGTGTTGACAGATCCTACAATTGAAATTTCCAAGGGACGCCTTGGCAATATAAATTGTGAAACTTGAAATCACAATATGAAATCATAATAATAATTTAAGTAATATGACAAGAATAATATATGTATTTATTATATAATAATAAATTGTATATTTAACCTCAAACATTTTCAGAATCTACACATAGAATATATAGAATATATAATTATAAATTACGTATAAAAATATTATATATTTATAAATATATAATTTATTACATTATATTTACTACATATAATGATGAATATAATTTATTCCTGTAAAATAGAAAAGCTTATATTGTATCATGCGAGATATTTTCATATAGCGAATAAATGATTTAAGGGGATTTACTTCAAATACGAAAGAAATCTCTGTCGATTCTTTTTGAATTTAATGAAATAACTTCCCACGCGTAGAATCTTTTCAACTTGTACATTGCTGCACTGTAATTTTGTTTTGAGATTGCAGCGCAGCATTGCTGCGTGTAGAATATTCGCAATCTTGTTGATGAAATTAGCACAATAATGATATTAGATCTAATTCTTTATGCATTACAATATACTTTCCGCATTTGAAATGAAATGAAATATACAATATTAGACATTCGAAAGAGAAGAACGGGATGAAAAGTATAAGAAGTTGAGTTATACAAAAACGAACCAATGATATTCGCCTTTTTGCAATGGCAAGAGAAAGATCTAAAATGCAAATGTAAATATATTTCAGACTGCACAGAACATTTCAGAGGTAAGTGTAGCAACATTGAGATTCCAGATGTTACTGCAATATTATTGGAATGTTCTGTACAAGTATATTTGATAATAATAAAAAAAATTGTGAGAAATTACAATTAGCATTTATTTTATTTTTCTAAACAAACGGATTATTTTCAGTAATTTAAATGAAACATTATTGTTCATTATACGTTACAGCTAACGTTGACAGAATGTTTAAATTATCACATACAAGAAGCAAATGAGCAAATACCGCAAAGTTATATGTATGCTGCGAGTAATAACATGTTATATATTATTCCACAATTGCGCAGTTATTCAAGGCTGAAACATATCTCAAATATTCAAGATACAATCGAGAAATGCTTTTAGTATAGATGGAATCAAAATAAAAATTAAATAAATATTTCCTTTTTGCTTATCTATTTTCTCCGAATTGAAAATAAAACAATAAACATACATTCGTTTAAGAAAAAAAATAATAATAATAAAAACATCAAATGAGCACATCTGAGCAGACCTAAGACTTTTTTCAAGTCTTTATTCTTTAATTATATATTTTCGCAATTCTTTGATTTCTTTTTTCTTATTACTACACGTGCTTTTATCGACATGGATTGCGTTAATCGTAATATTAGATTATCTCACCTTGACCTTCTAAATTGTTTCTTTCAAATCCTTCTTGAATCACGACCATGAATTAAAACAGCTCTCCCTCCTTTCTAACCAGTAACCTTAGCATTTCATAGAACATGTGTTTTTGTAACGTGTATTGATTATCAATCGTTCGATATGCTATATCCGAAGGATATAGCAGAAATATAAAAAAAATTTCAATGCGACATATGACATATATAAATTCTAGATTATTCTAATTCATTTTAGAATAATCGATATACATAATGTAATAATTAATGTAATAATTGTGTCACTTAATAATATAATTTCACTTAATAATATAATATTACCAATAATTATCTTAATAATTACACAATATTTTTTTCAAAGAAAGACAAAAAAGTAGAGTTTTCAAAAAAATATAGATATTATATAGATTATAAATTAAATATTATTTGTTATTAATATGATGAAAAATATTTTTTTATTTTTACATATTGTTTGTAAATGATAGAAAATTTCGTAACATATAAATATAATAATAGGGATTTAATATAAAATTTATTTGTTAATTAATTCGTGCTTTTCACAAAAATTTAGGCAAAATAAAAATTGAATCGAATAAGAATTATATAACTATGCATATGCTATACATAAATTTGTAATAAAATAGTATTGTATAATATAGTACATATACCAATGTCTTTAAAGAAAGTACACGCGAGCCGAAATAGCTCAGTTGGGAGAGCGTTAGACTGAAGATCTAAATGTCCCCGGTTCAATCCCGGGTTTCGGCAGTAGCAATTTTTTTTATTTATTAAATTAATAACAGTCATTAACAAAATTTAATAATACAAGTAACATACTTCATAAAAAAATATTAAATATTTTAATATAATCAAATTATAATTCTCTCTTTATTTTTTGTTAGTCTACATCTTCAAAGTTTAACTACTCGAAAATACTAAGACACCGAAAATGTGTATTTTAAACGTCAATTTTAATTAAAGATTATAAGATATACTTTTTAATAGATTTAATTTAAGATATATTAAAAAAAATATATTAAAAAAAAACAGAAAAATCGTTGAACACTTTGAAAACACTTTGAAGATTAGTTTCTCAAAAATATTAAAAATGTAAGTCGAGCTTTTTAGTATGTATTTTCCTCGGACTTTGAAAGCTGCATGCCGGACGCGCTTGTGAAAATCTGTTGTTTCAGATATATCGGACGTAGCCAGGCGGCAACGACAGGAAGAAGACGCGAGGACGAAGGGATGCGCGACGGCCTCGTCGTGCGCACACTCCCGAGGCGTCGTTAGACCCTCTGCACCTGCAAGCGAGGTTCGTAACGAGACGATTGGCCGCTCTCAGTTGGATCCTGAGTGCGCGAGGGGTGAGAATGTCGACCGGTGGTAGACGCGCGTACACATAGGGCGAGAAACTCTATCGGGGAAATTACCTTCACGCGGCGACGGCGGTGGTCGCTGTGCCCGCATCACGCATCTCGAAGATCTCGCGCGCGCGCGCGCACGTGTCCGTTCGGTCGCGGATGCAGCCAGCGTGAAAGCGTGGACGCGGAGGGGAAAAAACGCGCGTTCGAGAGAGAAAGCCCTTCGTGTCGGGGTAGCCGCGACGCGAGCTGCCACGAGGCTCACGTGCCTCATCTCTCCCGATCGCGGGGACTGGATTTAATCGGCTTCCCCGAATTTCACGCTTCGTCAGGATGAGACTCCCGCGGATGCTGCTCGTCATTGGTTACCTGCTGCGCTATCACGTCGCCCGCTCGATAGCCGGTGAGTACGTAATTGCAAGTACACATATGTTTCTCCCTTGCAGCTGCACGCCTTCAAGGTCCTAAATCCTCTCGCTTTCTAATCGTCGCCGAATGAAAAAAATTGTCTCAACTGCCTAATACATTTTTATATTTGAAAACGTACAAATTTAAAAACGCATGTGCTTGAATTTTGAGAGCAGGAATCACATTTAATGCTTAATCGGGAATTGAATTGCAATTCCCTTGTGAATTGCAAATAGATAAGCTTTTTGCAATGTGAACATTGGATATCAATTTTGCAGATTTAAAAGAATCTCTTGATAAGAGTATTTCATAAATAAAATGTGCAGTGTAGAAAATAATAGATGAGATTTTTCATTTTTACCCTCACATTTAAAACTTTTCATCATACACTGTGAAAAAATAACGCGCGTTTTTTTAAAATGTAGCATGTAAAATGCAAAATGTAACATGATATATTACTTTAGTATTAATATTATTTACTCTTTTAACTTAACATAAAAAATAATATTTTTTAGATACTATGAAATAAATATGTCATAAATTGTTTAACCCACACGCGCATTTGTCTCTAATAAAATCAAATTATTAAATTAATATGTTTATTTAATTTATGATAATATATGTACTATATTTTATTATAACTTTTTTCATTATATCATCATATATTATTATATCACTTATTATCTAAGATTATTATGATATTCCTTGTGCACAATTAGCGATGAATAATTGAGAATGATGAAATAAATTTTAATACTAAATTATTAATATTTTTAATCCTAAAATATTAAATATTTTGAGGCAAGAATATTGATTCGTGGATTCTCCGTTGTATTATTATCTGGTGCGCGCGAAATAATAGCAAAATGCAGCGCAGATTATACGGACATCGGTGGTCGCTGCATATCGTAGATAAGGTGCTTAACAATGCCCGCTGTTGCATTTACAAGTACATTTTAAGTATTCGCGACACTTGTAAATCCGCTTGCAAATTCGCAATGATCGTAGCATATCCGGGATATTCTCGACTCGAAGATTTTTACTTGTAAAAAGTAGACATTTTATTTATTTTGTCGCACCGCAATTTACAAACATATCGAATAAGATAGTTCGACCGGCAATACCGAATTAATAACGCGAGTTATAATAGCAATTATATTATGTTAAACCATTACGTTTTAATTGCAGGACATACTGTATCGAATTAATTAATTTTATATGGTAGCGCGAGGAAAGAGGTGAGGAGAAGTGAAGGGATAAAGCAACGGAGTTGATTCGCTGAATTAATGACGCTTTAGTGGACACCTCGCTAACGAGGAGCCATTGTTCACGATTTCAAAAGAATCTTCGAATGACCATCCCGTTGATCAAAGAACCGATTTGTTAAAAAGGTGAAAAAGAATCGGGTTGTTATCTTTTTTCATTCATTAAAAATCTTGTATGGCTATATTAATTGGCACGCGTGCAAGTTACACGTAATAATATGTATGCATGAATATACGCATTATTATTATTTAAGTGAAATATGGTCGTTAATTAAATAACGCGTCTCTGATATTACACGATAACACAATGTAACAAATATAAAAAGTGGTACGGCGTGCAAAAGCCAAACAATTTTTATTACATATTCATTACATGATAATCGCTAAGAAAATAACTCATATGTATATAAATACAATACAAATTTATTTGTACTTTAATTATATAAATTAATATATAAAAACTCTTGATAATTTTAAATACTTTTTTTACAATGTTTTATTATAAATAAATTAATATATTAATATATTATATATTAATATATATTAATAAATTATATATTATCAGAAATTCTTACTCTTCTTTTATTTTTAACAAATTAGTGCAAATAGTATAGTTATATATTAGTAGATGAGATCTATTATGCTATAGGTTCCGGATTCGATTTCTGGCAGAACCAAAAATATTTACATTCGTATATTACGAACGTAATATTTACGTTCTTTTCGGAAGGCAATGGCAAATCACCGAAAGTGACTTTGCCATGAGCGTCTCTCTACCAAAAAAATTTGCCGTTCGGAATCGGCGTTAAACATAAGGTCCCATACACCTGTGTACAATCACCATACGTATCACATGTATATGTGAGAGATCGCCATGCTCGGAGCAATAGGACAAATATCTATACTGTGATTACTAGATTCTAATAAAATTTCTCAGTCATATTGTTGGAATAACTCGGAAATTTTTGTATTTTTGCTTTTTCGAATATGTATTCCTCTATCACATATTTCCATTAAAATGAACTGACGCGTAGCTTAATACAGCGGTTGATTGATAAAATATTTTCTATTCAGACACATTTATTGAAAAATTCGCTGAATCATTCCATAATTTTGATATTCTAGATAACTAAAGATCGCAAATATGCGCAAATATATATATTCAAAACAAAAAATACTATCTTTTTTATTTCTTTGCTCTCTTTTGTTAATTAAAAATTTGAGTGATATTCTAATATCCTAGTCCCAAGCCTTTGTAACTCATCACGTGGTACTACAATGTTTATCTGTTTGCTTGACGTGCCATCCTATTTCCTTCACATATCGATCTTTTGTCTCGCTCGTTACCTACACCACGCTTTATATCTCTCTTCACATTCGTCGCTTTGGTATACAATATCTCACCATTTGTGGATGCCTCAAAATCAATAGAGGTCCTTTTGGATATTGAATACTTTGATTAATATAAAAACGATTTTTCAGTAAAAATGTTATATAATTACTAGTTGTTTTACAATGAATGAGTTGCAAAAGAAAAATTTCCAACGGAATGATCTCATAAAAGTATATAATAGTAGAATCACATCTATTAATTCACTTTTAATTCACTTATTTTCAAAGAAATATTAAAAATACGAAAATTTTCAAAGTAAATAGAATAGCAAGCAGAAGAAATTTTGACAAAATGTTATGCAAATAAAAGTTAAAACAATTTTAAAAAAAGATTTAAATATTCATTTAATTAACATCCGCATAAAATAGTGATAATACTGTAATCATTTTGAAAAGAAGATTAATTGTGAGACTTAATTAAAATGCCTTCCCATCTATTTTTGATAACTGTTTATTTCTATTACTTAACATATTTTTAAATTAAAAAAAATGTATTATTTAAAATAAATATTATTTTTTCATAAAATTTGTATTTAGACTCTTCACAAGCATAAAATTGATCGAGACTACACCAATTTTATTCCATCTTATTCGATCGAACGACCGACCGATGAACTTTCACGATTATCTAAAATAATGACCTAATATACAAATAGAGCTCTCATTTAACAAGATAAAATATTTCAATTTTAACACAATTTTACATAAAATCATTAAGAAATATAACGATCTTTCTCTATCTTTTGCATAAATATTTATTTAGCTTTAAGTAAAATGAAAAAAAAATTCTAGCAAGTGCAAGCATTGTAATCTATGTTATGTTTTAGTAAGTTTTACAGTTATATATGTATTTATTTAAAATATATAGTGTTAGAAAATAAGTGGCACACATGAGGCATGTATTTGATGTTACTCAAGTGAGATAAATAATAAATATTAAAATATATAATTTTTCATTAGTAATAAATTAAGTATAATCAAAAATTTTTGTTTTTCTTTTATTCATAAAAAATTAGTACACAAATAGTTATACATTAATAAATAAGAATTGACTGTAATTATTTATTAATGTTGCTGTTTAAAAGAGATATTTATAAATCTAGTATCTATTTTATTGTTAATATATCAGTATAATTAAGAACTTTCTTGTTATTGAAAAATTAATTCCGGAAGTGAAATCTGAGTTTTCTTTTGAAAAGAATTCTTAAAAATATAAAATATAATATAATATAAATATACATTATATAATGATATAATTATATATAATTATTATAATAATTAGAATAGTAATTTATTAAACACTTCGAAAAGAATAATTATATTTAGTGATATTAATACTAGATATGAATTTTTAGAATTAGAGAATTATATTTGCAATAGAAAATTAAGTACATAGTACAATAATACTAAGTTATTTTTCATATTAAAAGTGATTATATTAATGCAAATTCGAAAGGTCAGTCCTTTACAACGAATATTATTTTTACTTTTATAATAGTAATAAAGGCCCCGGATGTTCGTACGATTTCTCGTGCCGCGCGCGGAGCACCGCTGCGTGCAAATGAAATAGCAATATTACTCTTTGTCTGTTTGTTCTAAAATATGCCTTTCTTCTGTTGACTGTGATTTGTCCTTATCTTTATTAAGCAACTTACAGTCTAACCCAGAAGAATAGTATCCGAAGAATAGTTGATGTTCCTCTTTCTAGATAATTTCGTAACCATGCGATTGGCGAACATTCATGTTCTTTCTATGATTTTGAAAAACTTTTTGGACTCTTTCTGTTTGAAGTTGTTTGAAGCCCTTTTTAGCAAATCTATTAAGTAATACGCATAAGTACAATACGTACAAGGTTGAGAAAACTTCCTTAATTCTTAACGTCATAACGATTCTTTCTCTGCATCATTTAAAATCCTCTTTCTTTTTGTTGTATACTGCTTTTACATTGAATTTTTAGCGGTAACGATTGACGATAACGATTAACTCATTAATTGAGAAGATGACAGGCAAAATAGGCATTTTGACTGAGAAATTAACTTGGAAAAGTTTATGTTTTTTTCTCTTTTGGGGTAAGCGTAATCACTTTGATGCAGACCGCTTTTGCATCCGTGATTTTGGACAAATAATATTTCTTTTTTTGGCGAAAATGTACATCATATCTTGTACATATTTTTCTAAACAATTTACGTGACAAATACAATGTGAGGAAACTGTTTTTAATTTACTTAAAATCCAGTTGTAAAACAATATTTCCTCTTCATTAGGACTTTTTTACTTAGCGATGGATTACTTTGAAGCAAAGAACAATTTGTCGAAGGAAATAACTCGGAAATTCTTTCATTTCCCTTTTTTTATATGTTGCGTAACTAATACACTGACACAATCTTATGTAACTTTCATGACATCGGATATTCTTTATTTAAGTATCTTGAAACAATTCATAAATCATTTTTCTCATACAAATTTCTGCGAGCAAATCTTTCGTTGTTGTCGTAATAAAAGAAAGAAGAGTTATTTAACATTCAAATAAATGAAACACAGTTTTCATAATTTTTTAAAAATCTCAGATGGAATATCTAATCTAAGAAATTTATTTTAAATTTCTCTGTTGAATCTACGGAAAATTTATTTTAAATTTCTCTGTTGAATCTGCGGAATTGGAAAAGCATCGAGAATGTCGATTATACGTGTCTTTTAAGAGGAAGAAAAATAAAATCTATGAAATATTTGGATATTTTATAAGAATATTTAAAAATATAAGAGAGAAATACAATTAAGATAAAAGCAGTGATACTTACCAAATAAATTCGAAAACAGATTTTAATAAAGAAAATTTAACAAATTTATAAAATGTACTAATTAAGTTGGAAGTAAATAATGAACTAATGTTAAGAACGGACAAACTTAAAAATCTAAATAGATACAGTGTTTACCGAATGATAAATTTCCCTTTGTAGCATTAACCCTTAACCGAATGCGCCTCCCAACCGAACGTTGTAATTTCATTCGATTACTTTAATCTTAAAAACTGCTTTCTATTTAAGTCGTCGTAATTAATCCTTTTGTTTTTTAGTAAGCTTTTTAGCGACGACTATGTTGTTGGATTTTCTAACCGATGTAACCCTAAGGCATAGTCTTAATTGCTTGCTCTAATTACGAAATTGGGTTATGGGACTGTATGAGTACGCATTCGTATTACACGTACAAATTTCTGCAAACGGATTTAATTAAAATATTCCAGTTTTATGCGATTTCATTATTAAAGAAGATAATGCGCGCTATACAATTGAAAGATTGCATGGCAATTATGATTTACGATTTAGCAATTATCAAGCGAGTTAAAATAACAACTGAGTGAGGTGAAACAATTTCTCATTTCTCTGGAAGAAGCAGTGATCTAACTAAGAAAGAAAATTTATTGATACAGTGACTGAAGGAAGCAATTCTTCAACTATTAATGAACTTTTGCTTATCATTTTGATTACAGCACCTGCAAGAGCGACAAGTCAGACTTTATTAAATAAAGTTGATAATACACTTTGGAACGATGACGATAACGATGTCACGACAGAGGAGCCGCTTCTTAAAAAATGCATTGTAGACGGAAATTTTTATTCTCACAGTCAAACGGTAACTGGACAAAATATACTGACAATTTTCAATAGAGAAATTCTCCTTTCAATAATATTTCTTTCAAAAATAATCAAAAGATGGAAAAATCTTTTCTTAATATTAAGAAGGATTGCTATTTATTACAATTTTAGAATTTTTAGCATCACAATTAAATCTCTCAGATTAGAATTCTATTCCAATAAACTCCATCTAAATTCCATCTAAACTCCATCTAAAATTAACTAATGAATATAATTTATTTGGCTTTCTGAAGTTTCGTTCGTAAAAAGACTTTTTTCTACAATTATTCATAATTGAAAGATCTTTGTTTGTATTGAGAAAAATTCTATTCTCAAAATTGATAAGAAAATATCATTAAAAAAAAAGTATGAACGTAAAAAGTAGAATTGCCATGTATTTATATAATATTATTCTAAAATAATTATCTATGTGAATACTAAATTTTATATACTGAATTTTTTTATTTTATCCTCTCGTATTTTTTTCATCAACTCATTTATTAGACACAGACATTTTCTCTTTCAGATACCATCTTATGACTCAAATTCGCATTGCCTATGTGTCGCCGGTGAAGTTTACTGTTGGTGGCAAAATTATAATCCGAGTACCGCCTCGTCGCTCAGCCCTTCTGTGCGATCGACCGCGATGGAAAGCAATTACACTTCATCCCTGGGAACGAGTACGGATATCGTGGATGACTCCGAGGCTTCCGGGGATTTTGACTCCTCGGTCAGCAGCCAACAAGGACACATAGAAATGAATACCACTTTGTCGAACACAACGCCTTCTATACCGACCACTTGCCTCGTGATGGGTATTCATTAATTTTCCCTCTTTAATTATTCTCGTAATATTTTAATAGATTTTTTTTTTTTTATACAAATCGATGTTCCTCACATTAAAAATATATTTTGAAAGATAAATATCATGACATGACATGTTACATATTCGTACAATTTAATTTAAGTAGATGTTTTCTAAGAAATTTTAATTGTAGCATAAAGATTCACTTTCCAAAAATTTTTTTTATTTTTATTATCCTAACAGACAATGCAATTTCATATTCACAGTATTCGTCTCGACGCGAAGATAAAAGTTTCCTTTTGTGAACTTTAAAAACCTATATATTTTTCTTTTATATATATTATAAAAGCCGCGCATTCGTACGTTCTTCGTACATACGGCGGCTCCGGCTCTTTTATTCGTCCGATATTCGTACGCATCATGGGATTTGAATTATAGGAAGAGAGTATCGACAGGGTGAGACACTACCACACTCAACGGGGAACTGCGTCGAATGCAGCTGCGGCTCCGAAGGGCGCATCGAATGCTCGCCGAGAGACTGTGTGGCACTGCGACCCGAGATATTAGTCGCACCAGATATACCCGAGATACTCGATTTCGAAGTTTTCAACTTAGCGCGAGATCGGGACATCGAGGAGAATTTCTAAAGCATCCTCAAACTCGCCCAGTTCTGATTGCCGCGATATCATTACGACATTGTAAAAAGCCAACTAAACGTTTAATTAAATGCGATCTTGAAAAGACTGTTCCGTAAGAGGGTAGATTTCTGTAAAAGAAGATAGATATCTTGAGAATAGGTTGATTCTAAAGTTTGGCGAAAGTTGGATTACCGGTTAACAAAATGAAATATAAAAAATAAAAAGAAGCAGATCTTGAATTAATAATTTATTAATCAACTAATTTATAACAATTTATTAATCAACTAAACTAATGAGTGATTGAATTATACATTTATATCGAATTCTAATTAATATTTATTTCAGATGTAATAATATCATGTTTTTTTTTTAAATAATTCGAAATAATGATAATGATTGAATTATCAAATTTGCACTTGGTGGTGAATTTTGATATTAAAACAAAGTTATTTTCTTTCGATCAAGGACGTGCCTTCAATTATTTGTCTTATGCCATGGATGTAATCAAAACGACGTGGAAGGCATAGTCCTAAAATGTCTAGAGTGTCTAGATTCTTTTTATAAAATCTTCGATGAACGAGTGAGAGAAAAGTGTCTATTCGTTTTTTACATAGACGGCCTTATCAAGAATTCTTTTCAGATACTAATAGATTGAATATTCTCCATGTAGAAATTCCTTGATAATTTATTCATCTATTTTACCAATTGTAGAAAGTAGGATTTATTATCTTTCATGTAAATACTGCGTGAAATCGATCTTATTTTAATTTGTATGATTGGAATTCGATTCCTAGATACATATCGTAATTAGTCATTTGATGTATTTAGTTTATTTAACAAATAGAAATTTTATATTTATATAGATCCGAAAAATGTTTTTGTAGACGACGGCCTATAATCTATAAATTAATCGTAATATGTACATGAGCCTTATGTACATGGACGTGTGGAAAACAATATTACTGACAATGAGCTTAGGCATTAATAGTCAACCACAATAATTAATAAAAAAATACTCTTTGCCATACCTCCGTCATATTCCAATATTGATACATAATCGAATATTTTAGTGGAAATCGTGTAATTTATAATGATATAAATTACACAATCCCCATATATAACATAATATATACCGCCATATATAGTCTTATATACATAGAATAATATTATAGAATATCAACGAATAATAAAAATCCCTTGTTGCAATAGTTTATATAATAAATACAACAAATTGAACAATAATAGAAGTTTTTACAAGTTTTCATAATTATAATTTCTTTTTTTTCTTACATATGAATTATTCAAACGAGAATATCATGTACCATTAGTATCTATACTTATTGTTAATACCAATACAGTATTCGATCTGAACTTTATTTTACGTAAAGTTTACATCATTTACAACATTTTATTAAGTTAAATATTTATTTAATGTTATTTAATGCCGATAAATTCGTATAGCTATATAAGAGCCCAACTACATAAATGCAAGAATTGCATTAATGAAAGAAGATATCTAAAATCCCTAACATATATATGCATGATATACATTAAAGATATAACTTTGTACGCGTATATAAAAACAGTATAATATATAATATATATAATATTTTACTTATATTTAATATAATATATCACACGAGAAAAACTAAGTACTAAGAAAAAAAGTAACATACACTTGTGCATTATAATAACGTGCGATCATAATTACAGTCAAATCTTCATATTTCTAAGATATATTAAGACCAAACAATCTTTGCCTTTAATTTCCATTCATATTCTAATGAAATACGCACAGAAATATCGTTTTAATTATTGTGATTATAATATTTTTATTCTAATGTTATTAAATAAATAGCATGTGAAATAATGTAAAGCAGTATAAATGTTAAAGGAAATGTTAAAAATATGAAAATTAAAAAGGCTAGAAGAAATATTAAGAATACAGGTATTACAGATTAAAAGATAATTAGATTACAGATATTAAAAATATGAAGATTCGATTGTAATGAAACCACAATTTTATATAGATAAACCGCGATGTTTACTTTTATAAACATCATGCGAAAGTCACGATAGGACTGTTATACATATACTTTTGATGACGACAAAAAAATCAGTTGTTTATAAATAATTATGTAGATGAGTAGTTTCCAAAATAATATATATACCACGAAAATAACTTTGTCTAAAAGTTTACAAGTTTAGAACAGAGAATTTGTTCTTTAATAAGGCCTGATGAAACATCTAATTACTGCTATTTATTTTGACAAAATTAAAAGTAGAACTATAATTTAAATGATAAATTTATTTCACAACGTTTATTCCTAATAATTGGAGAAACAAATAAATAAAAAAGTAAATTAGATTTTGTGTCTTCTCGTCTCTATTTAATAAAATAATTTAATAAAAATATCAATAATTTAAACGGAAAGTAGAAAAGAATTGTAATAAATGAAAAAATAATTTTTTGGAATTAAATAATTATTTTTTGCACTTACAAATTGATTAAAAGGCTTCTGAATATTAGCTTTCGAATATTAATTTTCAAAGAATATTATCTTTAATAAATGTTTTTATAAATTTTCTATTATTCTTTAAACCAAAATTAATAGAGAGATACAAAATCCAAATTTAGATTTTTATTTATTTATCTTTCTTGGAAATAATACATATCAATTTTATCACGCTTCTTCAATTATTATATTTGTTTAATATTTAGTAAGATTCGTTTATTAATCATAGTGTTTATGAGCAGAGTAATTAATAGCGTACATTGGATTGTTACGAAAGACATCGTAAATAGCAGAAAAAGTCGAACAATATTTTTAAAAATTCCTCTACAAAAGTTATTAGTTATAATTAGAAGAATATCTTCCAACACCAATTACTGACAATCCACATTCATCAAAATGATCATAATATAAAATTTCGACATAAATTCTGTCAATACTTTGAACATGTATTTATGAACATAATAGAAACATATTATTTTAAATGTGGAACTTGTATGCTTACAAATTACACTTTAAAAGTATATATAAATTATTTGGATACTTTCTGTTTCTGTTTTTAAACAAAAGTATAAATGTCTTACATCAATAATGTTCGCAAATGTTAATTATAATTTCTAAATTTTGCCTAAATTTTTTGAGTTTCTATTTTTTAGAACTTCGAATTTATATGTTTTCTCTTATACGTTTTTGTTTCTCAAGCTATAATTTGTAAGGATTAAATTTGTAGGATTTAAATTTAAAGGAAAGAAGAACTTTAATAATATGTTATTCGTATACAATATACATTTCCAGAGGATTTTTGATACTTTTCAATTTTGTTTTAATTTATTAATTAATATAAAGAACAAATACATCTTTTCTATTCATAAATCTTGATGACTAATACATACAATTTTGAAATGATTAAAATGTTTATTCCTCTCGTCTTAGTTTTTTTTGCGTAATAGATTACACAAAATGCATTTCTAAAATCTCAACAACTGTAAGTTATTTAAAAATTTATTGACAGAATTTATAATTGTGTATGGTATTCTTCGCATATGTAAACATTTATAAATTTTTTAGAAAATTTCTCGTAAGACGAAAGTCGCACATCATCACGGGACCATTTTAATGAGAATAAGTAGGCTATTCGTTACTGTTTTTGTTCATACCTAAATAACGATCTCGTATGTCTTCCAGTCATCTTACGTGGAATTGTATCTATATTGTATTCCTGAGATTACATGCTTATGTCTTCATAGAAAAACTGTATTCCAAATAAAGAAAGATCTCGTGAAATATGTTTGAAATATGTTTATTGTGTATTTTGCTATCTTTCATAGTAAGAAATACTCTTCTTGTATAATTTTTATTGCTCCTTTATAATATCATTTTGACTTATAATATCATATTTGACTTAAATTCAAAAAAGGAAATGAATGGAGCTTGAGATCCTGTTTGTCGAGTAATATCATCTATTACATTCTCTTCTTTGAATATTCTCTGCTTATTGCATTGCATGAAAATGTTTATATACATCAAAGAAATTGCTCTTAATTATTGTCGGTATTATTTATTGTTCTCATTATCTGTTCATTTTCACTTGTAACTTTATTTTAAAAGGAAATCTATCGTTTAACGTTGTGTGTATATTTAACGTTTGACTTTTAATTTTTACATGATGTAACACCTTGCTTAATAATTTTTTGGTATAAAAATTGAAAATTACTTTTTTTTTAATTTTATTGCACAACAGAACAATTTGGTAAATAAGTTAATGATATATGCTTTTAATTATCGATCAAGAAGCGGCAAACTTTTTCAATGTCTAATAAATGTACACAGGAATAAGTTAAATCATACATTGATTTTTAAAAGAATTTATTATTTTTATTAGCATATATAGTACAAAAGAATATACTATATTTATTACTAATATACTATATTTATTACTATATTAAACATATTATTACAGAATTCTTATTTCAGCCAAGTTCTTCACAATTCTATATAGAAATTTAAACTTCAAGTTAAAGAAAGATAAAATATCTTTCATTCGAAATGTTACGTTTTCTTTCTTAATATTACTACCATTTTCGCTTAGAACAGAATACCATGCAATCTATATTTATTGTATCTGCAGCTTTATTACGACTTTACTAACATCTCATAGAATTATAAATTATTTATATTTATATTTAATAATAAATATTTATATTCATATTTAATATTTATATTTATATCTAATAAATAAGAATTTATTTAAATTATTTTAATATAAATAAAGTAAAATTTTTGTTACGATTAATTTTTATTATGATTTTATTATGATTATTTACATTATATATTAACAATTATATTAAGAAAATCTTCAGAATACACTTTAAATGCTCGACGACTTATGTAAGCAAACACGTGATACAAAATCCTTCTTAGAACCAGTTTACTTTGGAAAGTAATAAGTATTGAGTTTATTTTTATTAATTAATTTTTGTAGAAAGTGCTCATTTAATTTCTTTTTGCCATTAAAAATTCAAAAAATTATATAATTGACATTCGATTTTATGATTAAAGAAATCATCGAACATAACCTTTTTAAATTGGATTAGGTTATATTAGGTTAGATGCGATGGACAAACTGATTTATTAAAATATTTTATAATTAAATCTTTTTCTCTAATAAATTCTAAATAAATTTTATATGTTTATTCATTTATGGCACTTAGCAACATCTATAATTTATTATTAATTATTAGTATGTTATGTTTTACACTCCAAGTAAAAACAAAATTTTATTTTCAATGCTAATCGTTCTTTTTACAATGCAATTAATTAATTAAATTCTTTAAACTTTTATTCTTACGTAAAGAGAAATCGAATAAATGTATTTTTCTCAAAATTTAAATTTATAAATTAAACAATTGTCAAATAATAAGAATAATTAAGAAAATAAAGAGGATTTTTTCTTCATTGGGTTAACACAGATTTCTATTTTGTTTGCTATCATTCTTACGTGATAAGCTAGGCAGATAATGGTATCGAAAGATTAGATAATTCATATTACGATTTTGCCACAAAGAGTAGTATCGCTATCAAACCATAAACTATTTTTTTAATTTGTATTATCATATTATGTATATTTTCCGGTGATAGCTGGACAGGAAGAATCATTGAGTCAGTTTGCTCTAGTCAGGAAACTAGTGCAACTATCAAATGCAACAATATCAGAAACTACTGAGATGGCAAGCAGGGAGGCAATGGAATCACGGCCCTTTGACACATTGGCAGAATTATACGATACTTTGGATAATGGATTAGTAGAGTTATCATCGGCATATATCACAGAATCAGTGGACTATGTATATCGAGGTTTAGATATTGTTGCACAAAAAATTCCATTGGAAAAAGTCAACAGGGATGAACAACCTAGAACACTAGTCTGTCATGATATGAAAGGTGGTTATTTGGAAGACAGGTAATTTGAGAAAATATATCCTTAATGTAAAATAAATATATATAAATTGTATGTCATGGCTTTTGTCTTACAGATTCCTACAGGGTTCTACCTCTTATGACTCTTATATATTTTATCATTGGAGTATTGTTGATACATTTGTTTACTTTAGTCATCACTTTGTGACTATTCCACCTTGTGGATGGATTGTTGCAGCTCATAACCATGGTGTCAAAGTCTTGGGTACTGTAATTACAGAAGGAAATAATGACACTTGGGACACAATACTCGCATCTCAAGAGGATGCAAGAAAATTTGCAGATGCTTTAGTATTGGTTGCCAAATGTTATCAATTTGAAGGCTGGCTTTTAAATGTTGAAAATAAAATTAGAGAAGAGGATATTGATAATTTGATTTATTTCATTAAGTATCTAACAGAAAGTATTCATAACGAGATTGAGGATTCTGAAATTATTTGGTATGATAGTGTGACAAATAAGGGTGAATTAAATTGGCAAAACGAACTCAATGATAAGAACAAGTACTTTAATTTAATTTATTATTATCATACATATTTTATTTCTATACAATTTTATAACAATAATTTATTATTTTTGTTTTAGAGAATTTTTCTTATATTGTGATGGTATATTTTTAAATTATAATTGGACAGAATCGCGACTTATTAGTAGTCGTATACTCGCAAAGGAATTGGGTCGCGATATTAAGGATATTTATGTAGGATTAGATGTTTGGGGAAGAGGTTGCCCAGGTGGTGGCGGGTTTAATTCGGCATATGTAAGTATTACTTTTGTTATATCATGATGAACAAATCATTCGGAATATGCCAATAAATTTACTTAGAATATGTTATCTGTGTTCACATTAAACTTATATTGTGTTAGAGAAACTTGATGTATCTTAATAGTAGATTAATTTGTAATTTTTATCTGCAATTTGCTATTTACATTTTATCAACAAACTTTTCAAACAAATATTTTTCTCAACATTTTATCATATTATTGTATATTGACTTCTATATTAAGTTTTAGTTTTAGCTACAGCTAAAATATAACATACATTTTATAAAATCTGTTTAAGCGATTATCTAGAATATTATAAATATATTATTTTACTTTCATTCCAGTAAACAAATTTAGATAATAAAAACAAATTTTTATTTTTACAGGCACTAGATTTAATACGAAAACAAGAGCTTTCTGTAGCCATCTTCGCTCCTGGTTGGACACACGAGTATTTCGGTCCAAGTACTTTTCAAGTTTTAGAAGATTTATTTTGGGCTCAACTTTTCCCTTATTTATATGTACATGTACCTATTTATGAGGATGACACATTTAAAACTTCCTTCTGTCGAGGTGCTGGTATTTGCTATTATTATAATGGCGAGGTAAATAATTAACAAGTAAAAAATATTGAATTTAATTCAAAAATGATAAAAAATTTTCTATATTAAAATATTTATAATATTTAATATTGATCTACAATAATTTACGACATACATGCTTATTTATATAGGAACATTTTGAACCGTATACGATAAATGGCGAAAGTACACCCGAAAAGAAAGCATTTTATAATTTACGAATGCAGCAACCACAATTAACAATTCCAGTGCCATATTTGCAATTTACGCGATCCACGCAAAGAATTCTTACTGAAAATGTAGAAGATAAGAAGCATGATAATGATGAAGATAGTAAAAATAAAGATAATGAGAAACAGGAACCACGAATAGAACGTATATACGAAAATAAAAAAACATTATACGAATATGTGACAATGTCATTCAGTTTGAAAATAAATTATCTGCCATCGATGTCAATACTTTCGAATTTTGCGATCAATTTTCCTACAATGGCGGTGGATGCTTGAAATTAATTACTAGAGATCATAGATTATATCATAGGTGAGAATATATCCATTAAAAAACAGTTTTATAAAAAAATATAACAAAACATTATTGTTTAACAGTTAATTACAGGATATATTAATAATCATTACGCTATATTTTATTATTTTATTATATTTTATTATTGTTTAATAATTAATTAATTGCTGGTTAACAAATTTTATATCATAATTTGTATTTTGCTTAAATCTTGATCTTTTATTTTTAAATTTATATTTATATTTTGTGTTGAGAATTCAAAGTATAGAAAACGGTTTTCTTAAAGAGATTTTGAGAAAATATTCTTCTGACTATTATTCACTATACAAATAAAAGTTAAGTTTTTATTTTTAATTATTATATCTATGATCAATATTACAAAAATAATTAAAATTAATTGTTTTCACAATATCACAAATATAGTTTTTATGTTGTATTAGTGTTATGCATGTTATTACAGATTATTTTTGGTTCACATTAATTTGAATCAAGATATTCAGGCGACCATCGTTTATGCAGAATCTGAAATTGATGTCTTTTCAAACAAAACTGACAAGAATCCTATTTTGATCTTGAGTAGCAATGGTGAATTAAAATCGATCCGATCTTATAATTCCATCAGAATAAACTCCAGATGGAAAAAATGGTAAGCTTAAAGCGTCATTGACACATTAGCATTGACAACCAGTTGTTTTTTAACTGATTGTATTTTTTACAGTATATATCTGACGAACTTGAGGACCGTGGATGAAATCGGCGTGTCCTTCCTAACAGAATGCGACTGTTATTTAGGCGAGATTATTTTGGAGAAAAGGAATCTTTGTTTCGGTGAGTACGAAATATTTATGCATGACTTAACAGTTACATTAAAATTCTACGCGACGTCGCGACAGCGCGACAGTTGCGCATAACAAATGGATGATGTCACAATAAAATAAACATATCACAAGTCCTCGATTGCATGCTGAACCGCTTCTCACTGATTATACCGTAGATGCCCTTACTCCTACTCCTTTTTCGCGATTCCCTCCCGATTGAGAGTCACTTGGGTGAAAGGCACATATAAATTGTTTCACGATAGACTAGTCATTTGATTTTATAGATAAACACTTCGGCGCTCCACTGCGAGATCAGGTACGAAATTATTGCAACGAAAATATTTGTCATTGATTCTCCATTTCAATAAGCAAATTGTTCATAATGTCAGCAGATTAGTAACGAATTTGATGAGAAACTGATCTGTACTTGCTTTATATTTTGGCTAATCTGCCAACATAATTTAACAGCATATTGATGATAGGAACCGAATAGAATTTGTTAGACACAATAAAATTATGTAACTAAATTTATTTAATTTTTAATTATGTTGTTTTGACAAATTTTATTATGTTATTTTTGTCATTATTTACATTATATCTTTTAGATGTATTAGATATATTAAATCTGTAAGCCATTCTATTGACAAGACTTTGCAGAATTTGTCCTCGGCAAACTTGGGAATGTTATTGAAAAAACAAAATTACTCGCTCGATTAGCATTTAAAGATAATATTTCAATGGCGAAGCGAATATCTTTGATATCCTAAGTAATTTACGTCCTTATTAACAAGATTTCTATTACAAGGATATCTACATTCCTTGATAGCAAAATGTATTCCATAATGGCACGGTGGATGGCAAATTCTATTATGGCGACTTAAAGAGAGACGCAACCGATTTGTTACACCGGATGTTACAAGTCATTGGCATTTGCATGCTCCCACGTTAAAACGAACGATTATCTATTCTTTGTGTTCCAAGACGGTCATGCAACTACGTGTGTTTATTATTCACGTATTTATATATACATTGATTACGATGATGTGCCACCTACTGTCGAGAAGATGACACAGAAATATATTTGATTGCATGAAGCCTCTTTGTTGCAGTGCCAATCGAGTCGCCAACCCTTTCTAGCTTTGTGCAAATGACATACAGTGTTTTTGCAAACTCTCTTAAGCCAGACGCGAAGTTTTGAATTAATTTCCATCTCCTTAAAAAGTTTAAGAGAAAGAATAACTGCATCATATATATTTCGTATTTTTTAATTTTTATTAAGAAAATTGTATTACATGCGGATTACTATTTTGGTAACTTCAGTCTCTGTGGAATACAACGCGTGTGTATCTTTATATTTTAACACATATTTATAAAATATTTTGCATATGTATGTATTCATATTTATTCTCGATATATTGAAAAAATTCTTTTTTTCTTATCTAATTCTTTTTCTCTTTCTCTCCTTTCTCTTTATTCGTACGCGCGCCTACAAGCATAATAAAATTGAATGAATTAATATTAAAACTACTGATAAATAAGGCAAATAGTACAAATTAAAAAATAATAATTGTAATAGAGTAAAATAATATTTTTAATATAGCTACACTGAGAAAAAAATGCTGTTGAATCAATAGCATTAGTCTAATTGGAAATAATTT